TATTAAATCAATGTTCACTTGTAAACTTTTGAAAGAACAACAATAACATTTTGTTCAGAGTTATGAACATCTTCCATTCCCGAGATGTTTGTAACTCTGAGGTTCTGCTGTATCCCACCAGCTGACACGAAGTATTCTTCACAAGCATCTCTTTGCCAAGTTTCAGAAGCATGTAACAATGTGGGGATCACAATAACACTGTATAACTTTATCTTGGTTCTTCTATGAATTTCCTTATTTTTCCAAATATTTGCCAGTTTTGAAAAATTCCACTTGCCTTTCCAGTTCTTGCTTTCACCTCCTTATGGAGATGGCCATCAGCACTGCTTATGCTTCCAAGATATACAGACTTGTTAACTCTGCTGTATTCTTTGCTCTCAATCACATATGTACCATAATTGCTGATTCCTCTTTCAAAGATCATGATTTTCATTTTTTTTCCACTGATTTTTTAATCATACTTTGGCAGCCTCATATTTGACATTGATAATGGTCTTTTTTGTGGACGTTGCAGAGAAGAAGGAAAAAGCCTATATGGAAAGGCAAATGAATGGGGCATGCAGCCATTCTCTCCTTTCCAGTTTAAACTGCACTTAGGTTTTGAAAGATAATAAAAATAAACCATTGTTTACATAGTACAGCCCAAATCCCCACCCTGTCCCTCAGTGGACATGGACCCAGCTGTGTGTGGAGAAAAGGAAAATAGGATGCAAGGGTCCATACTGGGTGGAGCATGGTTCTATGGGGGTAGGAGGTGCTAGCATGTCCATGACTGGCAGCTACTTGGGTGGCAGGGCTGGACGTGTCACTATTACCGCAAGGATCCTATGTATGGGGGCAAGCGTTATGGGGTTGAGAGGGACTTTCCCTCCCCAACCTTGTACTATCCTGTCGAGGCCCTGTTCAGTGCAGATGCTGGTCTTATGCATCTTCATTCCTGGTACCCCTGTGTGAATTATTATATGGTTGCACCTCTGATCCCACTATCGTTGGTCCCCAACCCCTGTCATAAGGAGCTTCACTGCTCCCCTGCAGCCTGAGGATCGGAGGAGTCTTCTCCGATGGAGCTCTCCAGCACTCAGCCAAATTACAGAGATTAGGGTCTGGGGGCAGGATTTGGGGCTAATGCTACCTGAACTGACTTTAGTTTCCTTGTAGGGTAGCACCTATGGCATGTCCTCTTTCTACTGAAATCCTGTTTGGTATTTTACTTTAATTTTGTGCTGTGTGAGTTGTTTTGAAATCAGACAGTACATTGTGAGTCAAGGCAAAGAAATTCTACAGCACTCTGGCATATTGAAAAGTGTGAGGGTGCCTATTACAATATTTACAGCATCATTTTTCATATTGAAGATTTGCACAAGCTTGTTTGAGTTACTCAGCATAAAATCAATGATTGCAGAGGGGCACGCTCATTAGAACAGATTCTGGTTCTCTAGAGATCCCAGAAAAAAAACCCAACAGTTTCTTAAACTAATATATCTAAATTCATTGAAGTGTGGCTTGTGCCATCAGTGAAGTGATACAGAAAATTTATTTCTTCGCAGCATTGTCCCTGCCAATTCCCTCTTTCCATAGCACTCCCACTCGCTTGCCTTGTTCCTGCTTGCAATATACATATAAAGTAAAATGAAAGTGACTGTGTAAAATGCACCTTCTTACTCTGGAGATCTGCCCCTTGCATATATTCATATCTGCTGACTTTAGTGACTAAAACAAGTTTTTACTGCTCTTTACCCTATGAGCTCAACAGAGCTGAGAGAGAGTGTGCTCGAGGCTATTCCTTGTGCATCATCAGCAGAATTGTTTTCTAAGTTCCAGTCGCAGGGCCAGTCAAATATACTCATGCAGCCCCAATGAAAGGCAAGAGTTACCAGAGGCATAATTTGAAGGGAATGGGGCTGTACATGGGTAACTGGGTGGAGAATTTGACCTTTATTACTGGTGACAATGCTAAGAAGGAAAGAGATCACTTGACTTTTGGAGTATGTATACACTGCAGTTAGACATCTGCAGCTGGCCTGTGCCTGCTGACTCAAGCTCACGGGGCTGTTTAATTATGATGTAGACACTTGGGCTACAACCCAAGCTCTGGGATTGTCCCAGCTCAGATCGCTAGAGCCCGGGCTCCAGCCCGAGCCCAAATGTCTACATTGCAATTAAACAGCCCCTTAGCCTGAGCCCCGCTAGCCCAAGTCAGCTGGCATGGTCCAGCCATAGGTTTTTAATTGCCATGTAGACGTACCCCTAGATCTCAGACTGAGTTTGCAGGCTTGTCAGCAAATGTATCTTTTGACTTGTAAACTGAGCACATATGATCTCCAGTGGCTGAGACACCATAAACATGGAACCTCGTGATGCTGTTTTTACAGTGTCACTTTTTAAGGCACAACTGCATTTTAAGATCTCCTGCCCAGCTCTTCTGTTTTCCTATTTTACTCCTATTTGCCATTTGTCTCCCCTTTTAAATCAAAACGTTCAGACCTCTACTGTGCTCTCACTTCCCCTTTTATTTCAGGTAGGAGGGAACCAGTAAACATTTCACAGCCCTCCCATTGGCCAATTCCCTGCTGTTCCTCCCTGGGCTTTTTTGAAAGCAAGTTGACTAAATTGGCCCAAGCCATATTTGCGAGATACAACTTCCACTATCTCACTTCGCATTTTTTATATTCTAATTAGTCAGAAGGGTAGAATGGATGAACATTCACACCGGTAATTCTTCTTTCGAGAATGATGAGCAGTGAAAGGAAATCTGACAGTCTGCTCTATATGTGCAAATGAGTTGGCCTGAGTGTATTTTTTAACTTACTTTCCAGAGTTTAATACTTGTACATGGCATCAGGTGGAGACCCTGGAAACATCCCTTCTCAGCTGTAGCACTTCCAGTGTAACCTTCCCTACACCGCCTTGTGTGTTGAGCCTCATCCCTGACTCATAGTGCGTTATCTGTCAACTAGGTGTCCCATTTTGATGTTGGTTTGTGATGAGAACAGTGCAGTTCAAGATGGTGGCAGATGCTGGTTTGCAGTTAGGGCAAGCTGTAAAAATACCTGGAAGAAGTAAAGTAATCAAAGTAACTTTAATAAAACACCACTGCTGAAACACCATTATTGGAATGCAAATAAGGAACAGTAAGCAGGATGTTAATGAATGCCCTCTCCAGATTCTTTCAGTTCTGCTGTGTTTTCTAGGCTTCACCATATATTTCTGTCTTCCTCATTTTAATCTTTTTTCCTGCCACAGCAGCATCGGACAGAACGCTGTTTCCTTACACTGTGAAACAATAAGTGTGATGCTCGTGGTTCCAAAGAGCTGCACTAGCTTAGCCAGGCTTATTTGTTCAGAAGATACCTTTGCAGGACTTTTCATACTCCCAGGACAAGCAGTGGTTCTCTACATGTTGTCTGCCTCTAAACTTGGAAGTAGTTCAGCATAGTCAGTTTCCTTTTTCTGCTTGGCAGAGATGTGAATCATCTGTCAAAACAAGGTGGGCAGCAGACTCTAAATTCTGGTTGCCCTACTGGTTTGACCCCAGACCACATCAGTTTCCAAAGTATTACTAATGCTGGAAAAAATGGTTAATCTGATCCTGAATGTACTGTGCTTTTTTTTTTCTAGTCTGGTTGGGTGGATCACCTGTAAAGGTTTTACCATTTATACATTAGAACACATATCTGTTTTGTTTAGGAGAATGACTTCTTAGCCAACAGAAGTTTGGTTTCTCTCCTATCCAAGCTAACTGCTAACCCACTTGGGATTAGAAGCTCAGTCATAAAAGGATAAACTCTCCCCTCCTGTGGGAAAAACATGTAGAGAAAAAAGCTCTTGTAGAATTTCAAGAGGCTGAACTTCTGGGGTTTCAGAAGACTGATGCCCTCACTGGGGAGGAATGTGAGCATCACAGAGGGGCAGGGGCCTGGCCTTGAAACCCTCAGGCTCTGGGGAATTCAGTACTAAAGCTGACAGATCCTGATGCAACCACAAGGAGAGTCAACATCTTTGTGCTGCTGCCTGAAGCCCCTAGCAGCTGCTCACTGTTGCCCACCACACTGCCTCCCAGAAAGGGAGAGGCCAAAGGGAGGAATTAATACTGCTTACAGTAGCGTTGCGTCCTCTGTACATTTCTGCTTGAAAATCCTTTGAACCTTGGGTAACATGCCATACAGAGTGGCTGCTCCATGGCTCCACAATGGTGCCCCCTTCCACACAAACTCAGATACCCTTGGGGAAGGTGGTGAAGCATGCATCCGTTTCCACAGCTCAGCCCCTCTTTGGCCTCTGCTCCCCACCACAGAACAGAATGGGACCTATAGCATAGAAGCCAAAGTTTATGAATCAAGGAGACTGGGAGTAAGAGGGACTTGCCATGGGAGCGACAGCGATGGTTCAAGCAAGATTATTACTAGTACCAGTGTTTTTCCCCCCAACCCAATAAGTGTGAATAATCATTTAAAAAAACCCAACTAGCTAACAAGAGCGTACAGTGTGTCCTAGATATAAGGTAGCAAGTTTGTCACAGTGGCCTATGTTTAGAACATACCACATCTCACTTGCTTGGTTTATGGAGAGCCAGGGGGAGGTTCAATTACAGGAAATTCTACCACTGTGTTAAGAAGTTTCCTCCCTCTATATCTTTTCTTTTAATTTCTTTTTCTTCTCCATTTTGTGGCTGGTACTGTGGGTTGCTTTTCTGCTTCTTCCCACACTTACTAGGGGTTATTTGAAGGTAGGTGTTTTTTCCCTTCAGGCTTTTCATAGGCCTAATTATTTTGCTGCTGATCTAATAGGCACTTGATAAGGTGACTATGTAAAGTTGCAGATTTAATATTCAAGGTATTTTTCATCTGTGCAAGAAAAAGGAGGCATTTAGCAAAATCTAAAACCAGCATTTTAGCTTAATATCGGCAGATGTGTGTAAATATTTAAGCCATAAGGAAATCCACGGCACTGGTTTGTTAATCCACTAATCTCTATTTCATTTGATGTATCTTTTCCAACAGGAGGCCTTGACCTCATCCTCATGCCGGGCCTTGGGTTTGATAAAAGCGGCAACAGATTGGGAAGAGGGAAAGGATACTATGATACCTACCTTGAACGATGCATGCATCATCCCAAAGGAAAACCTTACACCATTGCCTTGGCTTACAAGGAACAGATCTGTGACTCAGTGCCAGTGGCAGAAAATGATATCCAAATAGATGAAATCCTTTATGAAGAAAGCTAAAAGCATCTGGATACCGCTGACTACAAACTGACCAACCAAAGACTTCATATCAAGGCACAAACTTGTAATAGTCATACATTATTTGTGTAGCAATAAAATACACTATTTTTAACAACAACAACAAAAAAGCTCTACATTCATGTTAATAAGGACTGCATTGATCTCATTCCAATTAGCAAATATCTATTGTGAATCTTATTCTAAAATCAATAGAAACAAGAATGGGTGACTATTTTATTAAAATAAAGATAATTTAATCTAATCATGTTTCTGTTTGTTGAATTACCCGATATTTAACATGACCGTTTTATTGCCCTGTTTTAAAATTGAGCTCAGTTACTAATGAGATTTCATGATCCAATCTGAAAGCAACTATTTATTGGAAGTAAAGTTTCAAATATGGCCATAGTACTTAACAATTACGCACAACCATCAAGAAAACATTAGTACCCAAGAAATCACCACGTAAGCTGCACACTAACATGATCACAAAGGAGTGATAGAAAAAGCCTTTGATTGTAAAATCAATTTAGATTACATACTTGGTGGTTAAACCATTGTCTAATTATAGAAGATCTGTATGCTAGCAACTGCATAGCTAGGGATCTGACCATGTTTTTAATATATACCCAATCTCCATGTTTCAAATATAAACCCATACAAATTTCCCTTGGGCAGAAACTTGGTAGATGAGTTCTCAAGCTGAGCATTTTTTAAACTATAACTCAGAAATGGTTTTGATTTAAAACCTATAATTTTCCAGGTCATTAATCCATAATGTATTGGAATAGTGCATGAAATTTGGGTACAACATGTTGAAGAAAGGCAAGAGAGAAGCCTAGAGGAATTGCAGGGAGAGCAACTACTATAGGATGATAGGGTTTAGAAGGGATGGACTCAGAAAAGGTTAAAGCAATTAAATAGGTGCAAATTGGTGAAAGAGGTTATTGGAGATGGTGGAAGGGAACGTTTCTGGGATGCAGAACAACTGACATAAAGGGAGAGAGAACAGGATAAATTGTTCTAATTAATTATCATGGAAAAGGACTAGGGGCCTGATCCAAAGCATATGGAAGACAATGGAATCTTTCCATTGATTTCAGTGAGTTCTGGCTTCAGATAATCTATTCCTATGCATAACAATTCTTTCCTTCTTCAGGGCTGAATCATGGCCCGGCTTGTACAGTTATGCAAGGGAGTGAGTGGGGAGAAAGAAGACCCTTACTCTCTTCCGTGGGCGATTTATGCTACCGGTAGCAGTGCAGGAAGGGAAGTGGGCAGCGCAGAGCTGCTCTGTCTCTTACCCAGTGCAGGTGGGTGGGACAGTGTGGAGATGTTCTTACTGGCAAAGCTACAATGGGTATAGACCTCGTATGGTTTATTCCTTCCCTGGAGCAGCCTGGAAAGTGGGAGGAACACTGTGCACTCTCCTTAGCGGGCTGCTCCGGTGGCAGCACAATAGGATGTTGCCCCTGGCTCAGGACAGATCCAATAGTAATGTTTTAGCCCATCCTGTGGGTATTTAGATTTATAAATTGTGCACAATTCAGCACCTAGCTTTTTTGTAGCACTATGCCAGATAGCTATCTGTACATGTCCCAGGTAAGAAACAGAATTGGAGTGCACCAAAATATTCCCAGTCTTGGGCTCTATGCGCCATCCAAAGTAATTGTGTGAACACTGAAAAATATCCATTGAAAGGATGTGGTGGTAGTTAGCGTTTTAATGTAATATTCAAATATGGGAATTAAAGATAAACAGAAGGTAATAATGAAAGGGAACACAATCTTCATTTTCTTTCAATCCTACCCTTGCCTCCTTCAATACATTTTTTGTACATGTATAATTTCTCTTTCAACCGGCACATTATTTCATTCATGTTAACCAATTCACTCTGTTTGCACATTAAAAATTCTATGAATTCTCAAGCACTGACTACAGAACCAAAAGCCCTTAAGCCTTCACAGGTAATTTTTGTGAACTAAATCATGCCTACAATATACATGGGCTTTTTAATCTAGAACTGTTGTATTCAATTTCACTTCTATTTTTGATACCATAGTAACGCAATAGCTACATGTTTAAAAACCCTATGTAGTTGTCAATTCAATAGATTTGAGGATTTGCTTCAGGATGAAGTTAAATTCCTCCCAAATATAATGAAGGTATCCATGGAATACCACAAAGAGATCTGACAGAATTCTCTGTTTTGAAACAGCCCAGGAGGATATTTGCATTTGAAAGGTCCCAATTCAGATGCATTGCTGACCAGCTCTTTGGAAAGATCTGTGACTGCAAAAAATGATCAACCCATTGAGTTCAACCTCCAAAATAGACAGAGCTCCTCAAATAGTGGAGGCATCAGCTGATAATGCATATAGGGCTTAATGATACAACTCAGCTGTCTTCAACCAAATGTCTTGCGTAAGTAAGGATTGCAGGTCTGGCACTCTTGAATTTAACCAAAAGGGCAAATTTATCTTGAAGAAGAAATGAGTAATAGTAATATACTGTCATCCAAAGAAGGACCCTTATGGGATTTTTAAGTGAAATTGAGTTGTACCTCTAGAAAACGGAATCTTTAGAGAGAGAGAACATGAGGGTGCTGGATAAATATGTACTGACATGAGTTTGGGGTGGTCACATTACCCACAAATGCTGAAGCACTGAGTGAGTTATGCAGATCATTGCAAACGAGTGCTGATAAACTGACTGATAAGCATGACTGCTATGTGGCGACCTATCAGAAATGAGTTAGTGGTCTCAGGCTAGTTCTTAGTGAACTGATGCCCCTGCCATAAAGTCAGCCCTTTAATTGGTAGGAGCTGGTGAGCTCACTGGTAGTCTCAGCTTAGAAGGCAATAATGGACGAAATGTGGAGAATGAAGGACTTTGAGGCCACCTAGAGGCGGTCCTGACAGACCAGGGTTGATAATTTTGTGGGGCAGCACAGTAATGTTGTATTATCATTGCTTGTGTCCAAACAGAACTCCTCCTTCCAGCATTAGCAAGCTGACAAATTTCAGGAATAATACTTAAGTGTATATAATATTAAATTGCTGTGTCAATGCTCATTGTTTCATATAGGGTCTATTTAAAGGCTCTATCTTTGGGCAGGTAAATATATAGATTAATTCATACATCTTAAAGCCAGAAGGCCATTACATCTTCAAGTCTGGCCTCCTGTATAACACAGGCCAGGGAATTTCACCCAATTACTCCTGTACTGAGCCCATTTACTTGTGTTTGACTATGGCGTAACTTCCAGAATGGCATCAAGTCTTGATATGAAGATTTCAAGAGCTGGGGAATCCTTCACTGCTTTTGGTAGTTTGTTCCAATAGATAATCACTCTCACTGTTATAAATTTGTATTTAACACTAATTTGAAGTTGTCTGGCTTTAAATTCCAGGCACTGGTTCTTGTTATGCCTTTCTCAGGTAGGTTAAAAGAGACTTTTAATACCTGGTATTTTCTCCCTGTGGAGATAGTTACACACCATAGAATGCAGTCAGAATGGGTGGGTCGGGGTCTCATGGGCAGCCAGAATCACAAAATTGTAAGACTGGAAGGGACCTCGTGAGGTCATCTAGTCTAGTCCCCTGCACTCATGGAAGGGACTGAGTATTATCTAGACCATCCCTGACAGGTGTTTGTCTAACCTGTTCTTAAAAATGTCTAATGACGGAGATTCTGCAACTTCCCTAGGCAATTTATTCCAGTGCTTAACTACTCAGACAGGAAGTTTTTCCTAATGTCTAACCTAAACCTCCCTTGTTGCAATTTAAGCCCATTGCTTCTTGTCTTATCCTCAGAGGTTGAAGAAAACAATTTTTCTCCCTCTTCCTTGTAACAACCATTTATGTACTTTAAAATTATCATGTCGATCCTCGGTCTTCTCTTTTCCAGACTAAATAAACCCATTTTTTTCAATCTTCTCTCATAGGACATGTTTTCTAGACCTTTAATCTTTTTGTTGCTCTTTTCTGGACTTTCGCCAATTTGTCCACATCTTTCTTGAATTGTGGCGCCCAGAACTGGCCATACTACTCCAGTTGAGGCCTAATCTGTACGGAGTAAAGTGGAAGAATTACTTCTTGTGTCTTGCTTAAAACACTCCTGCTAATACATCCCAGAATGATGTCACCTCTCAAACTTCTTTTGTATAAGGTAAACAGTTTGAGCTCCTTAAGGTTCCTGTTTGTGGGTGGATGGATGGATAGATGGTGTAAGACCTAACAGAATTAGTGGTAGCAATTTCTGGTATGATATAGTTAGTAAAATTATGGCTCCCATGCATTAGTATCTGATGTTTTTTATTTTTCAGTTTTGTAAACTGAGTGTATATAGATTTTTATTAGAGAGGATTTGCGCTTTATGAAAGATGGATTATGCACCACTTTATCGTGTACATTGAACTGCTTTGTTTGGCTTTTGATGTGCTGATGATCTTTTGGAAATACATGATTTTAATGTAATGCATGGCGTTTGATTAATGTCAGCCTTGTGCATTATTGGATGGAATTTAATAAAATGTAATTAATGGTGTTGTAATGAAATGGATATTTTGCCATTTCATATACAGTCACTTTAGAATATTGAGGATTTGGATTCAGTTAATATATTTTATATGCTCTAAGAAATGACTCAGAAAATGGAACTGAAACACTCAACTATGAACATAGTCTGTAAAAACAACCCAGTGAATGTCCATATTTCTTTGCCTTCAATCACTTTCATACCAAATTGGCTCACTTTACCAGTGAAAAGATGATTTTTCTAACTTCTCATTCTGCTAACTCAGCCTGGGATCTGAAAGACAAGCTGGGTCTTCCTGTTTCTTGCATCATAAAGACTGCAGCCAGAAGGTTAACTGACAATTTTGGTGATGATGCCTGAAGGAGAATAGTCTCCAGCTTGCTGTTCCATACCTGTATTGACTGGCAGCTGTACAAACTTGGTTATGTCAGTAAGTCAGGCAGATACAGTTCAAGACACGGAGTAGACATGCTGAGTGAGAAGATGTGGATTTGGTACAGCTCCTGTTTTCACTATTTTAATCTTTTTCCCATCACTGAACTTATGTTAATGTATGAAAAAATGATTGCAGCATGTTTGTGAACATTAGCATGCAGGAGTAGAATTCTAGCTTCTCTTTGCAGACTGATGCACACTGCTCATTAACCCCTTGTGAGCACTCAGCTGTTAGAAGTTTGGGAGCAAATTCTTCTCTGTTATATTGGTGTGGCTCCGTTGTAGTCA